CAACTCCTGGGCTCAAGAGAGTCTCCTGCCTCCGCCTCCCAAGTAGCTGGGACCACAGGCGCCTGCCACAACGCCCGGCTATTTTTTGGTTGCAGCCCTCATTGTTGTTTGGCGGGTCCGGGCTGGGGATTCGAACCTGCCACCTTAGGTGTACGTGGCTGGCGCCTTACCCGGTTGAGCTATAGGCGCCGAGCCCTTTTCCCAGTCTTTATGTTCATTTTCCTGATGCCACTTTTTTTTACTTCTCTTTTTTTTTCTCCCCCCTAATTTCCATTATTTAATGATTTAAATTTATCCCTCAGAGTCAATTTAAGTAACTGTGTTAGTTTTCCTCGTAATATTTGTATTTTTATCCCATATGTCATAATGTGTAATAATAGATTTTTGTTCCCTTAAAGGAAGTAATTTAGAAAAGGTAAGGCAGTCCTCTCTGAAGATTCTCTACTGATTCTTTTTTTTTTTTTTTTTTGAGACAGAGCCTCAAGCTGTCCCCCTGAGTAGAGTACTGTGGCATCATAGCTCACAGCGACCTCTAACTCCTGGGCTCAAGTGAGTCTCCTGCCTCAGCCTCCTAAGTATCTGGAACCACAGGCCCACACCACAATGCCTGGCTATCTTTTGGTTGCAGTCATCATTGTTGTTTGGCCCACCACCTTGGGTGTATGTGGCGCACGCCTTAGCCACTTGAGCCACAGGTGCCGAGCCTGATTCTTTTAATTTACTTGTTTATAACATCCATTATCATCATTTTCTTTTCTTTTCTTTTTTTCCTTTTTTTTGAGATGGTCTCAAGCTGTCACCCTGGGTAGAGTGCCATGGCATCATAACTCATAGCAACCTCCAACTCTTGGGCTCAAGCTATCCTCTTGCCTCAGGTTTTTCTATTTTTAGTAGAGATAGAGTCTCACTATTGCTCAGGCTGATCTTGAACTCATGAGTTCGATCTATCCACCCGCCTTGGTTTCCCAGAATGCTGGGGTTACAGGTGTAAGCCACCATGCCTGGCCTGTCATCATTTTCTAAAATGATTTTTCTGTAGCATAACAGGTGTCATTCCTTTGTTTTAAAATCCTCCAGTGATTTCCTGTTGCAGTAGGGTTAAGATTTAAATTTCATTTATGGTAGTCAAAATACTGTACCATCTGCTTTGCCTACCTCTCAGGATTCTTTTTTATTTTAGTTTATTTATCTTTTGAGACAGAGTCTTGCTCTGTTGCCCAGGCTAGCCTTTTTTTTTTTGAGACAGAGCCTCAAGCTGTTGCCCTGGGTAGAGTGCTGTAGTATCACAGCTCACAGCAGCCTCCAACTCCTGGGCTTAAGTGATTCTCTTGCCTCAGCCTCCTGAGTATCTGGGACTACAGGCGCCCGCTGCAGCGCCCGGCTGTTTTCTTGTTGTAGTTTGGCCCAGGCTAGAGTACCTTGACCTCAGCCTAGCTCACAGCCATCTCAAACTCCTGGGCTGAAGCAATCCTCCTGCCTTAGCCTCCTGAGTAACTGGGACTACAGGGCTTTCCACCAGGGACCTGGCAAAAGATCCTGCTACTTTTTCTGTTTTTAGTAGAGACAGGGAAGGGGTCTTGCTCTTCTCAGGCTGATCTGGAACTCTTGAGCTCAGGTGATCCATCTGTGTTAGCCTCCCACAGTGCTGGGATTGATTATAGGTGTGAACCACTTTGCTGGCCTATTTATTTTTTGAGATAGTGTCTTGTTCTGTCACTCTAGCTAGGGTGCAGTGGCATCATCATAGCTCACTGCACCCTCAAACTCTGGGCTCAAGAGATCCTCCTACTTCAGCCTCCTGAATAGCTGGGGTACAGGCACCCACCATGACATCTGGCTATTTTTTTTCTGGTTTTGGTAGAGACAGGTTCTTATTCTTGCTCAGTCTGGTTTTGAACTCCTGAGCTCAAGAGATTCTTCCCCCTCAGACTCACAGGTAACTACCTTTTTTTTTTTGGCAGAGACAGAGTCTTACTT